TCTAACATTCTGTGATTCTGTGATCTTGGAGAGATCGGTGAAAGAACATAAGATTTGTTAGAACTGTGGGGGTGGAGTTCGAAGAAGGAGCTGGTTTTGTGCCTGTCATGGTCATTGTAATGGGTTAACCCAGGACAGTCGTTTCAAATTTTAATTGGAGGGATTGTCCTGTGGAGGAATAAAGCAAATGAAAAATAGTAACTATATGAAATGCAATTATGTGAACAATAACATATTAGGGATTAACGCCTGACACAACCAGGCATACTTCAGTGGCCGTAATACTGCTTTTTATTGTTTTTCTTAAAAGCGATCCATCAGTCAAGCTAAAAGTGCCAGAAAATTGCGAACTCTCTGCAAGTTCTGATCTTTGTCTGATCTGAACTGCGTGTTTTCTCTAATTCCAGTCTGACGCATAATTTACGCTGACAGCTACAGTTCGTAGACTTGTCTCCGTCCTTGCGCAATGCTCCTCTTCCAAATGCTGTTATAACAATGTACGTTAAACATTTAATATTAATATGGTGTTTTACAGGTTAAAATAGCAGAGTTTTCTCGAACTCCTGAAGATTTCTTAAAGAAGTATGATGAGCTGAAGTCTAAAAACACAAGACATCTAGATTCCTTGGTTTATCTACTGTCAAAACTCACAGAAGACAAAGAGGTTTGTTTCTTCTTTAGAACTGGGTGTGTTGTAAGTATCCAGCAGTAGCAACAATGCAGTGATTTTAAGTGCAGCATGCTTTCTGATTATAGTGTTCAGCAAGATGCATTGAAATCAAGATAACCAGTTTTAGCATTTACTTAAAGCACTGCTGAGAATCACACTCCTCTTGATGTAAACCACTGAGACATGGGAAACTGGGTCGGAAAGACCTGTGGTCTGATTCAGCACAGCCATCTTACAGTCACATGTATTTTGCTTTAATGTGTGCTGACGAGCGTTCACAAAATCTTTTCTTTTTTGTGTACCTACAGACACTCCAGTATTTGCAACAAAATGCTAAAGAGAGGGCAGAACTTGCAGCAAGGGCAGCAAACAGTAGCAGCACAAACTTTTCCATTCCCTCATCTACTTCCAAGATATCTCTACAGGAGCTCGAGGAGCTCCGCAAGCAGCTGGGCAGTGTCACAGCCAACTCCAGTGTACAGCAGGTACTGTCTCTTCCCAGGCTTTGGGCAGAAAAATGTTTCCCGTCTGCTCATGTGTGTAGCTGTGCTCTTAATTTTTATCATCTACTGGAATGATAAATGTTCCTATCTGGTCAGATAATCAAAATTATCACTCAAAATTTGTTAGTCAGTTTATATTAAATCTTTATGCTTTCTTAATAAAAGTGGCCATTTTCTGTTTAAGTCAGTTAAGGTAAGCTGAGTTTAAGCTGCGACAGTTCTAACTGCTGGGGGTTAATGTAATTTCATTTTCCCATTTCAAATGACTGCATTAAGCTGTGCTGACATTTCCTTTCCGGCATATGGCAGTGCTTGCTCAGGAACTCAGCAACCATTGTGGTATGTTCCCATCCTTGCCAGGAGTTCTGCTCTCTCACGTAATGTGGGTACAGTGCCTCATGTAATCATTCCCCCAGTGAACACAGCCATTTCCTCTACTTAGCTGTTTAAGTTCCTGAAAGAAATGCTGCAAAGTGATCCCAAAGACAAAAAAGGAAGAAACAAAAGCCTACTGTAGAAGTAAACTGTATCATTGCAAGACACAGGCTTAGAAAACAGTTAAGCAAGCGTTTCATTATCAGTAGGCTGGGAGGTAGGAAATGCAAAAGGGTGATTGTTACTTAAATCCAGGCTTCTGTTTTCCGTAATCATTTGCATAAATAACTATACTGTGCTGGGTTGGCCTTGGCTAGCCACCATTGTTCCCCTGCTCAGTAGGACAAGGAGAGAAAAATATGACTAAAACAAGGTCAGGATACAGGCATTTTGTCTGCAGAAGGCACAGGAGCAAGTGTGTACAGACAGTTATTTGGATGGAGTTGAAAGAGTGAAAAGTGGGGAGAAGGGGAAGAAGAAAAGATGCTCAGCCCATAGGGAGTGAGCAACTGGACAATATGTCCAAATGCTTTAATTTAAAATTTTGTCGTTTACTTTTGTCCCAGAGGTTTGTTTCTTCTGATGACTGGTCAATAAAATCTAACAGGGGACAAGACTCCAGGATGTGACTTTGACTGTTTCTGAGGATGCCAGCCCACTTGTGAATGCTCAAAAATCACACGCTGGGGGCTTCTCCATCTGCAGTCTCTGTTGTGGCAGTCCTGCTCCCTCAGTGGAGGCATATCAATGTGGTGTTAGCGCACAGGGTCTGTCTGCGTTGGTGAGGTGTGTGCTGCACTCAGCTGCTCACTCTGCAGCACTGCTGACCCTGTCTTGGCCACATGGCAGTGTTTGCGTTCCTGATGTGTCCTACCAACCTTTGCTGTTGAGCTCTCCAGGTGTGGCTGTAGATGGTTCATGGAGGTCAACAAGGTCAAGTGCAAGGTCCTGCACCTGGGTTGTGGCAAGCCCAAGCACAAATAAAGGCTGGGAGGAGGATGGATGGAGAGCAGCCCTGAGGAGAAGGACTTGGGGGGTGTTGGTTGATAAGAAGCTGAACATGAGCCAGCAGTGTGTGCTGGCAGCCCAGAAACCAACTGTATCCTGCGCTGCATTGAAAGTAGTGTGACCAGCAGGTTGAGCGAGGTGATTCTCCCCCTCTGCTCTGCTCTCATGAGACCCCCCTGCAGTGCTGCATCCAACTCTGGGGCCCTTAGCACAGGAAGGACACGGAGCTGTTGGAGCAGGGCCAGAGGAGGCCACAAAGATGGTCCGAAGGCTGGAGCAGCTCCTGTCTGAGGACAGGCTGAGAGAGTTGGGGTTGTTCAGCCTGGACAAAAGAACAGAAGGCTCCGGGGAGACCTTAGAGCACTTCCAGTACTGAAAGGGGGCTATAGAAGAGATGGGGAGGCACTCTTCATCACGGGGGTGGAGGCATAGGATGAGGGGGAATGGTTTTAACCTGAAATAAGGTAGATTTAGATTGGATATCAGGAGGAAGTCTTTTTCCTGTGCGGGTGGTGAGGCAGTGGCCCAGGTTGCCCAGAGAAGCTGTGCATGCCCCATCCCTGGAGGTGTTCAAGGCCAGGCTGGATGAGACTTTGAGCAACCTGGGCTAGTGGGAGGTGTGCCTGCCCATGGCAAGGGCGTGGAAGTGGATGATCTTTAAGGTCCCTTCCAACCCAAAGCATTCTGTGATTCTGTGGTTTATTGCCTGTGCTGGCTCCTCAGCAGATGTGTGGTTACTCTTCAGTCTGTGAAGATCTTTCTGTGGCAGTGGCTGAGCAGAGCTCACACCTTTCAGGGAGAGTTTGCTGTGGCCATCAATATCTAGAGGAATGGACCCTCCCAGTTCCCATGTTTTGGGACACTTGCAGTGTCTGTCAGCTTGAAGGGCTGTACGTGCATGGTGGAGATGGTGGAGAGTTCAGATCCTAAACAGAGAGAGTCCAGCCCCTGACAGGTGGTGATGAAGCCAGTCTTGTTCCACATACACTGTGAAATACGTTCCTGCACAGACTGTTTGCCTGACTCATCCAAATCCTTCACAAATGATCTGAGCCAAGGGGCTGATTTAGATCATGAAGGGAAGATAACTGATCTTTTTCATAGGATTTACGTGCAGACTTGCTGAAAGAGGAAAGAAGAGTAGGTGGTGTTCTCTGGGATGTGCAGTTCACAACCAAAGGAACTGAGCAGGCAATGCAAGCCAGTTAAAAAGATTGGTGCCTCCTTGCTGCTCCTTTTATACTTTTCCAGACTTAAAGAGCTGGAACTCTGATAAAAGTCTCTAACAGGAAGGTGCTTGGGGCCTTTGTGACAGTAGGGCTGTATCAACTCACATAGCTGCAATCTCTTGACCCAGTTTCTGCTAGAGCCACTTCCCAAGAGGCCTGTCAAGTAGTCATAGTAGTTGCAATTGATTTATTTTTCCATCTCTCTTCTAAAAGCCAGGTTGCACAAGCCCTGGAGTGGTCCTTCAGGCTGTGTTAATGGGCACGAGGGTCTCACTTGTGGTACTGTCTTCATTCGCCAGGCATGGGGGATAGCTGCCAATGTTTCCACAGATTTGTTGTAGCACTGGTGGGAGGAGCCGCTGGGGTTGTCCACTCTAGCCCCCCTCTCACAGGAGGAATGTCATCCACACTAGATCAGGGCAGCTGTCGTTCTGTCCATCTGCATCCTGCAGCACCATGGGAGGGAAATGCCATACCTCCTTGCTGCCCCCATCCCATGGAAGAAGTGTCTCTTCCTGCCTGATCTCAATATCCCAAGAAGCAGCTTGTGTCTGTGGCCGCCTGAACCGCCTGCCACTTCTGAGAGGAGCTTGGCTTCACTCATCATCTTGGTCCATGTCCTTCACGTAGCTCCAGGCTGCTCTTAGCCCTCCTGTTGGCCAGACCCAGCAAAGCCCAGCAGCCCCTGCCACTCCTTCCTGGTCATGTGCTCTAGGTCCAGTGTATGCCCACTGCTGCCCATCTTCCCTGGCACTGGGGCAGTAGTGCAGGGGGCCGTTTGGTGCAGTTGGCATTCATTGAGCATGGAAGTGAGCTCTTTCTTTACATCACTGGATTTGGCCACTGCCATTGCTTAAGATACCAGATGCAGGTTCGTTAACATGACAGAGACAGACTGCCTTGTTCAGTGGGCTTTTAAGTGACACCTGAGGGCCATGTATCAGTCCTGGGAGTTTTAGCCAGACTATCATTGAAGCCTGTAATGACAATGATCTAAATTTTAAGTTGCAGAGATGTGATTCACAGCCCTGAGACACATCACCAGCACCACAAGTGCTGTGCCCTCTGCCCTGTGATTAGTTGTCACTGTCAGAGAGACCATCCAGTGACCTTTCAATGATTGGAGTTGCTGCTTAGGCCAGTTTTGGCCCAAGAATCATTGAGGTGGTAAAAGTTACATGTTCCCTTTCAGGTAGCTGTGTCCTTTATAGCCAAAACTGTGTCAACTTTTGTGAACTCTGACAGTTGACAAATTCACACTAGAGCTGATTGAACTCCAAAAGAAGTTCCTTGCCTGCCTCCCAGAGAATCACTGGTGAAGAAGAACTAGTCCCTCGATGAAAAAGGTTCTGCATTTGTTTCATGGGTTCTGGCTGCTGCTTTTCACTCTCACTATAAGAAACAGGCCTCAGTCCCTGCCTTTTTATTAGGGACGAATGCCACAGCCTACACTCCAGTCATGCCCCAACCTGTAGACTATTTAATATCTTAATCAATTACATACCTAGAGGGATCAAGTGCACCCTCAGCAAGTTTGCCGACAACACCAAGCTGAGTGGTGCAGTCAATACACTGCATGGAAGGGATGGCATCCAGAGGGACCATCACAGGCTGGAGGAGTGGGCTCATGCCAACCTCATGAAGTTCAGCAAGGCCAAGTGCAAGCCCCTGCACATGGATCAGGGCAGTCCCCACTATCAGTATAGACTAGGGGATGAAGGGATGGAGAACAGCCCTGTGGAGAAGGACTTGGGGATACTGTCGAAAAAAAGTGAACATGACCCAGCAACGTGCGCTTGCAGCCCAGAAAGCCAAGCATATCTTGGGCTGCATCCTCAGCAGCGTGAGCAGCAGGGCGAAGGAGGGGATTCTTCCCCTCTGCTCTGCTCTTGTGAGACCCCCCTGCAGTGCTGCATCCAGCTCTGGGGTCCTCAGCACGGGACAGACGCGGAGCTGTTGGAGCGGGGCCAGAGGAGGCCACGGAGATGGTCAGAGGCTGGAGCACCTCCCGTGCGAGGACAGGCTGAGAGAGTTGGGGTTGTTCAGCCCGGAGATGAGAAGGCTCCAGGCAGACCTTACAGTGGCTTTTCGGTACACAAAGAGGGCCTACAAGAATGATGGAGTAAGACTTTTTACCAGGGGTGGTAGTGACAGGACAAGGGTCAATGGACAGAAAGATAATAGGTTTAGATGGGATGCTCCATTCCTGGCAGTGTTCAGGGTCAGGTTGGATGGGACTTTGAGCAACCTGATCTAGTCAAAGGTGCCACTGCTCACAGCAAAGGAATTGGACTAGATGATTTTTTAAAGGTCCCTTCCAACCCAAACTGTTCTATGAGTCTATGATCAGGTTGCATTTGGCAGTTGGAGACAGGAGTTACTTCATGTCTCTGACTTTCCAAGGTGTAACTTTCATATAGTCCATCTCACTGAACTAGCTCTAGTGTTTTCCATACCCATTTGCCATTGAGATCTTACCTGGATCTGTTGGGTTTTATGGTCTCTCATACTTAGTGCAATGCCTCATAAGCTTTTGGACTTAGATACTTCCTTAGTCTGCTCTCTCCTAAATAGGCATGGTTCCTGGAGATGTGATGGTGAGGTCCATGGTTTGTGGAGGTTTTCTTCCAACTCATTCCTCCCTGCCATTTGGGAAGATGTAATGATGGTTGCTCTTCTCCCAAGCAGAAGCTTGTTCATACAGCCATGTTGCATAGAGCCAGTGCCACAGGGAGTTCTTCCATTTCAGGTCTTCCTTTAATGACCTGGAGCTCAAGATGATACACATGCACATGATGTTTTGATCTCTTAACCAACATCTGTGTGTCCAGATCGTGATGGACAACTGAGCTGCTATATACTACTTCAGTATGAAGGAGTTCAAGTTGTTTACCCATGTGAAGGACTCAGTCCTACACTGAGGTCTGCAATTTTGTGTGAAGTTTAGTCATCCTTTGAATTGCTGGCAGCTTTCTTGACATTTCCTCCTTCTCAGTACCCTTCTATGAGCATCCTGTTTCTGTTAGGAGAGCAGAGGAAATTGAGATCCTTCTAGCAGATCACACAAATACGGTATCAGTAGGAATGTCGTGTTGCTTTGAGATGTCACTTTGACCTGAGGACATTGTACTGGCATTGTGCTAGGCTGCAGCAAACATGCCCAGAACTGGTGCTGCTTGGAGGAGCAGTCCCACAGGTGATGCTTGTTTGAAGGATTTCAAGATCCAGCACTGGGCAGCTCTAAGGATAGAAGAATGGCCAGAGCCAGGCACAGGGTGCATCAGCTACCTTTCTCATGTAAGAGCATGTGATGGGGGTAGCCCTTGGCTGGGAGTGAACCCTCACAACCCCCCTGTTCATTCACCTCCTGCCCCCTCCCCGGCCCCCCTGAAGATGGGGGAGAGAATTAAAGGGGTAAAGGGAAAAAGGACTCATGGGTTGAGATAAGAACAACTTAATAACTAAACTACAATAATATTGAAAATAATAGTACATACAAATGAGTGGTACACAGTGATACTGCCCCCCCACCCGATGACCAAAGCTCAGCCTGTTCCTGGCTAACAATCCCGGAGCAGGGAGAGTCCCGAAACTGCACTCACGGAACGGAGATAACAGTCTGAGCATCCCAGAGTGAGGGCTGACCGAGCTGGGGAGAAGGCCTTGGGAGAGGGACCACCTGGAGCAAGGTGACCTGGAGCAAAAGAGATCCGGAACAAGAAGGGACAAGCTTCCAGAGGGTCCTCACCTATATACTGGGCATGACGTGTATGTTATAGAATAGATTATTGGCCACTTTGTATCTCAGTCCTGAACCTAAGATCAAATCCTGGGCTAGTAACTGGGGCTGTGCTCCCTCCCAGCTTCTGTTTGCGGACAGCCAGAGAAGCTGAAAGACCTTGGCAGCTGCATAAACATCACTTTTTATCAGCTTTCTTTTGAGCACAAATCCAAAACACAGCCTCTTGCTAGCTATTGTGAAGTTAACTCTGTCTCAGCTGAACCTAGGACAGAGCACCATTCCTTAAGATGCAAAGCTCACATGTATGCTTGCTTCCTTCCCAAGTTTCTCTCTCCTCTGAGACCTCCTACGAGAGGAAAGTTAAATGACCCTGTGCATATCCCATTTCACATGCACATCTGTGGAGCTTAAGAAATGGAATTCATAAGCATTTCCTCTGTGTTTGTGCTATTGGGGCTCTAAATATTCCCATAGGTTGTACATCTCACAGGCCTCTCCAGCTGACAATTGATCTTGCATTCTGTATATTTTAGTGTCAGAGACCCAGAGCCAGAGGTGAAAAGTTTTTTGGTATTTAAGAGCTCACTTCCTGCACTGACTCCTATTCAGACTGAAAAAACCCATCATTTTCCAGCTGTCTGTGGATGGATTACCCGGATTGCATTTGGCATGCAGCTACTCAGCGGGCCCTGTGCAGAAGTCGGGTTCAAAGGTGTTCATTAGCCTATCTGCAAGTGCCCTTTGAATAAGCTCTTACTGCTTACTGCTTCTGCAACGTGTTTGCTGCCTTTTACATGGTGCACTTTGCAAACTAGTAAGCTGCCTGGTGGCTGTGCGTGTCCCCATTCTGTTCCCCTGGGTGTGCCTTAGCACCCAGGCTGGTGGGGAGGGGTGTAGAAAGGCGTTATTTGATGTACCCTCGAAGAAAAAGGACAGCTGTATGAAAAATTACATCTGCAGCACTGAGACCAATAGACTAGGTGGTATTGGGAGACCAAATCCTACACCATGCTACTGAAACATCAGCTATTATACTTTCTGTTCTCAGGTTACCAGTTTACAGTCAATTTTTTCTTAACATTCAAAATTTCTTGGACTTCTGAAGATCTCTTTTTTTCCTTCTTTCTCTCTCTCTCTCTCTCTTTTTCCAACAGCCTCTTGAGCTTACACGAAAAATCCTCCGAGATAGGCAGAACAAGAAGAATTCTGGTCAGCCCGTTCCAGTATTTCCATCTTGGGTATATGACAGACCTGCACTTATTGGCGATTTCTTAATTGGCACCAGTTTAAGCACTGACACAACGGTACCTATAGGTATGTGATTCACAGGGAAAACTGCATTAGCTTTTTAGGTTTTGTACTTGTTCAGAAGTGCCCTTCAGGTTTCTTCACACTTGGGATGAAAGGAAAACTTGGCTTCTTACACCCTGCAGATGAAGAGCCAGGTTCAAAAAAAAAAAGGCAACCAAAACCCAAACTTATTTTCTTCACAGTGTTTCTTCTGTGCTGAATTCCAGCCCCACTGTTGATCCATGGGATCTGATCTGTTTTGAGTTTCCCAGTCCTTTTTCTCTCTTGAGTCACAACCTCTGTAAAATCCTGCTGTAGGAGTATCACATCTGTATTCTCAGCTGAAAAATCTGTTGTCATACCTGACAGGGGCGTATTCATCGATCCACCCGACTCAATATCTTCTCTAGTAAGGCTCTAACAACCTCCCTGATTTGCTATCTCTCTCCTTGCCAGAGCAGCAGGGAGCTAATCTCTCCCTATTGTATTCTAGCTTTAGGCTGAGCTGTGTATAGCTTCTTATTCATGTATTATGTTTAAGAACTCTTTTTTGGAAGAGAACAGCTGAGTTAGAGACTCGTGTTTCCATTCCCCATGACTCTGGAGGCTCCTACAGAAAACCTGTAGCTTCTTCCTGATGTGGATTGGGGCTGAGTCTAAGGGAGACATGAAAACAGTCAGCTCATTCTTGGAGGTGCCCTTAAATAGCTTGTCCACTAGTGCATTACTGCCAGACTGTGCTGCGAGGGTATGTTTCTAGCAAGCTCAGAACCATTTGTTCTCTCACATACAATCCTACAAATAGAGAGGGATTATTGCCTCGTTTCATGAGATCAGCTTTGCCGCAGTTAGTGTTGTTCGCTGATCTTCTGATGTACTTGGTTGTATTTTGGGTTGAGTCCTTCATGCGTCTTTGCAGATGGTTTGTATTTGACCGCATCATTCAGAGACCCTACAGTTTGCAGTTCACCTGCAGTTTTTGCTGGGCTAGCATTTCTTTGGGTCTGTGTTTGAACTGTTTTCTTGATATTTGAATATTTCAGTGGAGGGGAGAAAGGGGGAGTTATTGACAAGATTGGAGGTCCTTGGGAGCAGTATCACTGAGCCCTTTTGGGTGGAAGGATCAGAAGCACAGGCTGTGGGTGATGTTCTTTTGGCCACAGATGTCAGATGTATTAGCCCTGTCTGCTTGGTTTGCTTTGGGTATAAGTGAGCAAAGGATTGCATTCTCCTGGAAAGCAAAGCAGGTGATTTTGGAGTTGACCTGAACTCAGTTTTGTTTCTCTATATCTTGATTCAACTTTGTGTGATCTTCCTCTGTTTTCTTTTAATGGTAGTATGTCTTCCTTTCCAGCTTCAGGTACTAGATTGACATGATATGAATGGACGATCAGGTAGTACCACAGCATGTTCTGATTGTGGGGTTTTTTGTCTTCTCTTTGAAAACAGGTACTTTGCCATTAGCTTCCCAAGAATCCATGATTGTGGAGGACTTACTGTATGTTCTGATTGGTGTGGATGGAAGATACATCACAGCACAGCCTCTCATAGGCAGGCAGAACCGAGCATTTTCAGTCGATCCAAACTTGGACTTGTCCATCAAAGAGCTGGTGACCAGGATTCTTCCTGTAGCAACAAGTTACTCTGCTGTCACAAGGTACCAGGCTGACTTTTGTCAGAGTAGTATGTTCTCCTTTGAACATCAGGTTGTAGCATAGAGAATCCATTGTTGTGCAGATGTTAACTTCCAAGCTTAATTGATACAAAATAAGAATGACCATTTCTTTGAATTGTTTTTAGCTACATTTCTTTTTGCTGGGTTCCTCCTCTTTGCTGCCAGTTCACTTTTTCACTCACTTCACCTTCACTTTGTCCAAACGTGGTCTTGGTACATTCAGGCAAAGTGCAAACAGGATGTGTCTGCTTATTCTGGCTTGTCTTTTCCCACTCTGCTGTGAATTTCTTCATTTTTCCTGCTTTTTGCTCTCCTCTGGGCATCCAGGACTGAAACAATCTTTGTGTGCTTCTGAGCAGGAGAACCTACTGCTGCCTGGTTTCTGGCAGCTACCTTAAGTAATAGTTAAAAGGTCTTAGTATAAGATACACCTCACTAACAGCAGATGTTTGTTATGTAGATGTCTGAATTTGATTCAAAGTCCCTAAAAAGATCAGCAAAGAGGAAGAAGCATTTTTAGGATGTGATTCATCCGTGTCTCCTTCCAGACAATATGACTTGTGATCAGAAGCATCTGTCTCTCTCCGCTAACATGTATGGAACCATCTAAATCTGGTCAGATGAATCCCTGCTGTGGCATGTGGTGTCAGAAGCTAGCAACAGTGCTTTCCCCACATGTTTGAGTGCACGTTGCTTCCTTTTGAGATCTTTTCCTGTCCTCTTATCCGTTGGTTTTGCAAAGATAATTGCCTTGAAAATTCTAGCGCTCACTTTTCATTTAGTGGTTTTGCAAATAATTCTAGTTCTCCTGCAATTTGAGAGGAAACATCTTCCACAGCTTTCTGTACTAGGAAATATGGTGATGGGAAATAGGCAGGGGGACACAGAGCAAATGTGGAACCTGAACCTCCAGCTGAAGACTGGGGCACTTTCCAACGTGTGATCTACTTGTGTGCTTGTACAGTGTCCTGAAGATAATATTCCTCAAAATTATAGAAGGTGCTTTGCCTAAAAGAGTTTCCATTTTGCTTTTTACAGGTTTATAGAGGAGAAGTCTTCCTTCGAGTATGGACAGGTAAATCATGCTCTGGCTGCTGCTATGCGGACTCTAATCAAGGAATACATGATATTAATTACCCAGCTGGAACATCTTCAGAGACAGGGACTTCTGTCACTGCAGAAACTCTGGTTTTATATCCAGCCCACAATGAGGACCCTGGAGATTCTTGCTTCACTTGGTAAATTTCAAAAATACAGTCATTACATTTTGACAGGTGCATGACAATTTCTGAAAACTGCACAGAGCAGCAATACAGGCAGGGCATGTGTCATTTGAAGTTTATGTTCTGTTAAAGAAGAAAGCCAGAGGGAATTGTACTTGTCAGAGCA